TCTCTCTTATTTCTCTCTTTCACTCGCTCCCCCCTCTCTCTGTCTTTCTCTCTGCGCTCACTATTTCTGTATATCTGTATGCATATGTATAGCCTTACCGGTGTATTTCAAAATACCTCAATGTGTTTACCTTTCTGTGATGATACGTACAAGTGCATAGTTATGGACACATCTAAGTAGATATAAAGACATGGGTGTACGCATTCGCATCGGTTATTTGTGTAATATAATATCTCTGTGTATCGGTCTGTCTCGTTTCTCTGTTTACACACATGTGCAATTACTCATCACACCCTCTCTCTGTTTATCTAGCTACACGACGTTATATAGATTGTTGTATAAACACGTGTCTATACACAAGTGTTTATGCATATGTAATAATGCTGCATGCAACGTTCTCTGCGTACATTTACGGTTATATGACTGGCTGTGAATACGACTATGATGAGCTGAGCCTGACACGGTACACATATAAATGTACATGCGTAACTCTGTAATTATCTCTACCTCTCCTTGTCTCTTCCAAACTTACTCCAACAGGTCCCCGAGAAGCCTCCCACAAGATCCCAACCAACATCCAATAGGCTTCATACCCACAACCCAGGCACGGCGGCGGGATGGGCCGAAGGCAATCCTATATATATATATATATATATACACACCTATGTGTATGTACATGTAAATATACCACATAATGTATCATAGTTGAGATATTTTCTAGTACATTGTATACTGTGTAGGCTAAGGTAGTGTTTGGGGGACCCAGGAAGCGGGTTAGTACAAGGGTTCGGGAACCCAGACGTGTATACATACACATATATATATATATATCACTTTCTTTCGTTATCCCTCTTCCCGGTTCCCCAATTCCCGAACATATGTCCCCACCCCTGCGTTCCCAACTCCTGGTTCCCAATTCCAGAATCCTGGTTCCCGGTTCCTGGCGCCAGGTTCCCGGTTCCCGGCTCCCAGCTCCCGGTTCCCAATTCCCGGTTTCCAGTTCCTGGTTCCCTGTTCCCGATTCCCGGTTCCAAGTTCCTGGCTCCTGGTTCCTAAGTCCTGGTTCACGGTTCACGGTTCCTTGTTCCGGGGCTTCGCTTTCTGTCTCTTCTTTCATGTTTCTCTCTCCTCTCTTTCCCTCTCTCGATCCTTTTGTTGTGCTGGTGCTCCTGACTTGTTTCTCAGTCTCTCTCGCTCTTTTTTTTCATTCTCTCTCCCTCTCTCTCTTCCCCCATACATTTATATACATATACCTATACGACCACCCTTCGGGTGAGAAGGAGGTTCGGGGGGGGGAGGAACCAACGTCTCACTCGATCGGTCTCACTATCGATCTCACTATCGATCTCACTATCGGTCTCGCTCGATCGATCTCACTCGATCGATCTCACTCGGTCTATTTCATTCTATCGATCTCACAATCGATCCGACTATCGATCTCACAGTCGATCTCACTATCGATCTCACAGTCGATCTCACAATCGATCTCACATTCGGTCTAACGATCGATCTCACTATC